GGCCTCCTAGAGTGGTTCCATAAAGAAATAACTGGAATGGTCATACTGAGGAACACAGAGGAGGCCATGCAGTAGGAACTGTCATAAATGACTAGACCCCATTTCTGGTGTGAGTTTGCCAAACTGACATGTACAACGAGCACCCGGGTAGTGTAAAATGATAAGAATTTATTGCAACATAAAAATAGGAATATCCATCACCAAATAATAATGTCAGAAGGGAACCTTCCACTTTACTCTGGAACAATCAACTCACAGAGAGCCGATTAATAAGAGCACAGTTTGTTTCCTGTTACATGAGGAGAATCACAGAGTGATTATCCAGTATAACAATGTGGTCTAGAAATTTAAATACCTTTATTTGACAGGTGAGGAGAGAGATGAGAATATAAGTAATGCTATTTCAGGGCAATAAATGGTTACTATGGAAGATGAATAGATAATTGGGAGAGTGAATTGATGGAGCTGGAAAAGATTGATTTGTAAATGATTCTCTTTGAAAATGAAATTAACCTGAGAGGTAGGAATTGTATTTAAAATTATTGGGGCCTGGTCTTACTACATTCTTGATCTTATCTCCTATAATATAGTGAAATAACAGTAAGGGGATGGGAAATCTGTTGTTCTTTATGATAGGTCTGTCTGGGTTGATGCAGATAGAGGGAAAGCCCCTGTGGAAAGCTTGTGGATCTCTTAGAGCCTTTAATTCAAAATTATCTTTATACAAATTAGTCACATATTAGGTGAAATTTTCTGAAATCTTTCAATAACTTATAGTAAACTCTATTCAAACATGTTTCTTCAATAAGAGAGCATAATATAGTAGATAAGCTTAAAAGGTGTAGGAAGTGGCACTCAGAGATGAGAGCAGAGCTGAAATGTTCAGGCCTAGTTTATTGAAATGGGAGAGGGACCAACCTGGGCAGTGCAAAAGTGGCATCTGTGCTGAGAAGCAGTTAGGGACCCCTTTTTATGGGGCCATAGGGGGTAGACAAATTTCACAGCCTGCCCAGAAGGTTAGGGTCCCTTGCTGTAAACTTTGGGGGTGGGGCTAAGTAGACCCTTTGTGTTCTTGTCTTAGGAGGAGAAAAGGAGGAACAGTTGAAAGGGTTCATGTGTGGCTGTGTTAGGCCCCTCAACACTCCTAACTCTTTTTAAAATGGATGATGAGGATGAAAATCTTTCTTCCAAAATTGCTACTGGCTGGATAGGGTCATAGTTGTCCTCAATGGGATGGACTGGATGTTGGTAAGGCTGTGAGGGTTTGGTGTACACAGGGACAGGGTTTGGGGAGTAGAAGGAATTGGGTTGTAATTGTGGCTGACATCTTTTTTACCCTATCTTGAATAAATGAGGGCAGAAATTGGATTAGACCAGGGGCAATTGTTAATAGCAGGAGGATTGCAGGGAGGGGGCTCAAGAGGAGTAAGATCCAACATCCTCATGTGAGTATTGAAGTAGGATCCCTCATTTTGAGAGTCTAGCTGGGCAGCTGGTTCTCAGAACCAGGTAATGCCCTCTTAAACCAGACCACACTTATTGGTGCAGAAAAAGCTGGTTTCCTGTAAAAAGCACAATGATCTCTTTCTCCTGCTGTGAGTAGATTTAAGCCTCTAAGATGATTGTAGAAAGGATAACTGGAAAGTAATAAAAGGATGAGCAAAATAACTTTATCATCCAGTGAACTGAGAAACTGTGGGGTGCAAATTGCCATTTTAGTGTTGGTGATAGGTAAGAAAAATAGAGGTCTGTAAAATTTAGGAAGACTAGAGGACAAGGGTCTGGTATTTATTAGCATTAACTTACTTACCTGCATTACAGTTTAAGTTACATAAGGCCATCCTGATGTGATGAAGTTGAGCCCATTTTCAAGTCAGAAATGTCAGTTGAAAGCCATTCCCATGGGTCTATGGTTATGGAGGATGTTGATTCAGGGACCACTGGTTCCAGAAGGTGAATATAATGTCCTATTTTAAGAATATAATCATGTTAAAATGGGAAATTATATGTTCTCTTCTAGTGCCTTTTTTGTTGAGAAGAAAGTTCCAGGGTTCTAGAAAAAGATGCCTATTGGGGCATTTTATTTTAGTAACCAAGAATCATAGTAGTGGCCAGAGGTCCATTCTGTAGAAGAGTGTAGTCTTCTTGCTTGGGTCTTTTGAGTCACTATCTCTGGAGAAGGTGCAAAGTGGCAGCCACTACTTTTTTTTTTTTTTTTTTTTAAGTAAACTTATTTCAGGTTAATGCAAAGGTACAAACAACCAGGTCAAAACATTTGATTCTGTTAAGTAAAGTCCCTCTTATGGCTATGTTCCCCACACAAAAAGTGTGCCATAAGCCCTCACCCCTGTGTATATTCAATGAAAGCACCCCAAAACCTTCCCCCTCCCTTTCCCTCCTCATCTCTCCCTCCAACTTGAATTGAAATGGGTTTTTCAACCAGGTTAGCATGCATCTTGTCTACTAGCTTTATATTAGTATTGTGGACATTGAATAATTGCTTTTCAATTCCTTTTTTCTTTTTTTTTTTTTTGAGACAGAGTCTAAAGTGCTATGGCATCACAGCTCACAGTAACCTCAGACTCTTGGGCTAAAGCAATTCTCTTTCCTCAGCCTCCTAGGTAACTTGAACTATAGGCACCCACCACCACACTCACAATTTTTTGTTGCAGTTGTCATTGTTTGTTAGCAGAGCTGGGCTGGGTTTGAACCCACCAGCTCTGGTGTATGTGGCTGATGCCTTACCCACTGAGTATGGGCACTCCCCCAAGAAGTATGAAACTATGAATTAGAACCTTTTTTTTTTTTTTTTTTTTTTGAGACAGAGTCTCACTATGTCACCTTCAGTACAGTGCCATGCTGTTACAGCTCACAGCAACCTCAAACTCTTGGGCTAAAGCAATTCTCTTTCCTCAGCCCCCCTGTAGCTTGGACTACAGGAACCTGGCACAATGACTGGCTATGTTTTTGTTGTTGTCATTTTTGTTTAGCAGTCCCAGGCCGAGTATGAACCTTTCAGCCCTGGTGTATGTGGCCAGCACCCTAACTCCTGCACTACAGGCACTGAGCCTTGCTTTTCAATTCTTGTGATTCTTTATTAAGAAGAATGTATTTCAATTCCATCTAGGATATTACAAAAGGTGTTAAGTCACTGCCTTTTTATGGCTGAAAAATATTCCATGGTGTGCTTGTACCACAATTTGTTAATCCATTCCTGAGTTGATGGTCATTTAGGTTGTCTTCACATCTTGGCAATTCTAAATTGAGCTGCAATAAATAGTCCAGTGGCAGATATCCTTAAGATAAAAGGTTTTTTTTTCTTTTTTTCTTTTAGGTAGATGCCTAGTAGTGGAATTGCAGGGTCAACTGGGAGATCTAATTTGAGATCTTTGAAGATTCTCCATACTCCTTTCCAGACAGGCTGTATTATTTTGCAGTCCTATGAAAAATGTAAGAGTATTCCCTTCTTGCCACATCCCTGCGATCATCTGCAAATTTGGGACTTTGCAATGTGGGGTAATCTTACTGGGGGTGGGTCATATCTCAGGGGGATTTTAATTTGTATTTCTTTGATGATTAGGGCTGAAGAGAATTTTTTCATATGTTTGTTAGTCTTTCATCTGTGTTTCATAGAGCAGGTTCTATCCATGTTTTGCCCAATGATCTATGGGATTGTTTGCTTTTTTTGTTGATTAATTTGAATTCTCTGTAGATTCTAGTTATCAAATCATAAAATCAAATACAAAATCATAAAATTCAAATACCTTTTCCATTCTGAAGTTTGTCTATTTGCTTTGCTTGTTGTCTACTTAGCAGTACAAAAACTTTTCCATTTGATTAAGTCCCATTTATTTATTTTTGTTGTTGCAATTGCCCCATAAAAGTCTTCTTCATAAAATCTTTCCCCATGTTGATATCTTCAAGTGTTTTTACCACATTTTCTTTGAGGGTTTTTATCCTTTCATGCCTTAGATTTAAATCTTTCATCCTTCTTGAATCAATTTTTGTGAGTTGTGAGAGGTATGGGTCTAATTCCAGCCTTTTACATGTGGTAAACCAGTTCTTCCAGCACCATTTACTGAATATAGATTCTTTTCTTCATGGTGTGCTCTTGTTTGGTTTATCAAAGATCAAGTACCTGTAAAATGTTAACTTCTTCTTATGGTTTTCTATTGAATTCCAAATCTCTATGTCTCTATTTTTGTCCCAATACTATACTGTTTTGATTACTATGAACTTTTAATATACCCTAAAGTCTGGCAAGGTGGTGATTCTGAATTTGTTTTTATTACCAACAATTACCTTGGCTATACAGGTTTTTTTTTTTTTTTTTTTTTTTGGTTTCACATAAAATGAAGAATTATTTTCAAAGCATGTTGGTAGAATTTTAATGGGGGATTGGATTAAATCAGTAGATTGCTTTGGGAAGAATAGACATTTTAACAATGTTAATTCTTCCCAGCCATGATCCTGATATGTCTTCCATTTGTTAATAACTTTTGCTATTTCTTGTATTAAAGTTTGGTAATTTTATTTGTAGAGTTCCTTCACCTCTTTATGTATATTACAGAGGTATATTCCTAGGTATTTAATTTTTTAGAAGCGACTGTGAAGGGAATTGTGTCCTTGATTAGTTTCTCATCTTGGCTATTATTGGCATAAACAAAGGATACTGGTTTGTAGACATTGATTTTATATCGTGAGACCTTACTGTATTTTTTGATCACTTCCAGGACTCTTGTGGTTGAGTCTTTGGGGTTATCTGATTTAAGACCATCTCATCAGCATAGAGCAAGAGTTCATCTTCCTCTGCCCCCATTTGGATGCCCTTTATTTCCTTGTCTTGCCTATTGTATTGGCTCAAACTTCCAGCACTATGTTGAATCAGAGTGGTGATAGAGGACTACCTTGTCTGGTTCCAGTTTTATGTAAAAATCTTTTAGTTTTATTCCATTCAGTATGATATTATCTGTGGGTTTGTCATAGATGGCTTAAATTGGTTTCAAAAATGTGCCACCTCTGCCTGTATTCCTAAGTGTTCTTGTTAGAAAAAAGTGCTGAATATTACCAAATACTTTTATGCATCTATTGAACTGTTCATTTGGCCTTTGTTTATATATCCCAGGGATACAAGTTTGGCTTTACATATAAAAATACATAAATGTAATTGACTATATCAACAGAGACAGCCACTATTGAAAAAAATTTCTGCTTTTAGGACTGCAGTCAGTCCATTTTTCTCTCTTTCTCTATCCTTTCTATGGGCATATGGAAGTTTTCAGGGTAGAGGTAAGTCTTCTGTGGTATCAAGGAAATTCTGCATTACAGCAGAAGGAAGACGGCAGTGGGGAGGAATGTTGTCAAAGGGTATTGGGCAAGGCAGCTGCCAGGCCTGTGAGCTTGCCTTGCCCTGCCCTTTCCTGCTGTAGCTCATACCCATGCTTGTGTCTGCTGCAACCCAGGGAGCATGCATGGTTTCCTGAGCCAATGCCATTGGAGTTTTCATGTCTGCAAGCTCATGGTTGGTGTCTTGTGCCCACAGCCCTGCTTGTGCTGGGAGAGGATTCATGCAGCTGTTGGGCAGGGGAGGAAGCCATGAGAAGTCCAAGAATCGGTGGGATAGGGAAGAGAAGAGGGTGTTTATGCTCAGAGGCAGGTTAGGAAGTGGAAGAGCCATAGGAGCTGGAGGAATCCCTGCAGGAGGGGAGATAGAGAGGAGGACTGAGATGATGTGGGGTGTGTTGAAATAATGAGTGAAATCAGAGGGAGAGAAAAGCCTGAAGATAGGACATTTTACACCATCTACCATTTTTTTGTTTGTTTTTTGAGGAAATTAAGTTTTGTAAGACATTAAAATTAAAGGTCATGTTTTTTAATTTGTATTGAGGATGAAGGAAATACCTTTGGAGTGTCTTTGTTTATGGGGTTAGAAGGGTTGTCTCCTATGTCCAGATGTCTTTCTCCTACCTGGGTTGAAAAGAAGGCATCCCTTGTTTCACAAAAACCAGGACATGGAGAAGCAAAAATATGGAAAAAGAAATAAAGGTCAGACATTCTTATTTTTTTCTCAGAAAACTTGAGGTGCCTAGAATCTTAAAAACCTAAACAAGGATCCAGGATTGGACTTGAAGCAAAAAACAAAAGACAACATATTTTAAGGTCCCCAGGACTCCAGGAGAGAGCACAGTACTAGGACAAAACCTTCTAATAAAATGTGAACAAATGAGTGAACAAAGAAGAGGAAGAAGTGAGGGGGATGTGAAGACATAGCAGCAGGGAGCAAGACCAAGAGGGATCACAGGGAGGTTCTGTGTGAAGCTGTTTCAGAACTAAACTCACCCTTAAATGGTAGTTGGGATGAAGTCCTGTAGGATTCTCCCACAGATGGGTCAGTGGAATAAGGTCTGGGCAAAACTGGACTAGGTTCCAAAGAAACTGAGATGACTATGGAGGCCACCCAGAGACAAGGCTAGAGGTGAGATGTTTAGGTCAGGTTTAGTGACCCAAGTGGGTCATACATAGGTGCCATCTGTGTCAAGGGGGAAGTTTCAGACCCTTTTTATATACAGCCATAGGGGGTAAGAAAATTTCACTATTTGATTTGAAGTTTATGGTCCTTTGGCACGAACTTTCAGGGTGGGGCTATCCAGATCCTTTGTGTCTTTGTCTTAGGAGGAAAGGAAAAAGAGGCAGAGAAAAGGTTCATGTGTTGCTGCAATTAGGCCTTCCAACAGAGCAACCTTGATTTGACTTTGAGAAATGGGAAGTAGGAGGTGCCTGTGGCTCAAAGGAGTAAGGCACCGGCTCCATATGTAAGAGGTGGCAGGTTCAAACCCAGCTCCGTCCAAAAAAAAAAAAAAGAAAAAGATAAACGGGCAGTCATATAACAAATGCTGCATTTAATTTATTCTAAAAGATACGTTCTTACATCATTCAAATAGAGATGTGTCTTAACACTGACACCATGAAAGCACTGTAGCTCAGAAGGCAGTCGTAAGGTTGTTACTCTCATACATGATGTTGGTGTAAAAATTTCCCATTGTCATCTTCTGGTGATATTGTCAACAAGCAGACTTACACATGATGTAGGTAGGTTAGGAAGATAAATTAATAGAAAGCCTTCTAGGACACTCAGAATAAATGTAGCACCAACAAAACTTCTAATTAGCAGAGATAATGTCAACCTGGAAAAAAATCATAGACAAGAAGAATTGAAAAATTTTTCAGAACAGTGTAGTTTCAATGGCATTAAATTTATAGCACCTTAGTATATTTTGTCTTTATTTCTCATCACATATAATCATAGGAGTGATGAAAGGTAAAAATTGTACTCTCATAATCACTGTAACTTGGGAGTTTGAGGAGGGAGGATCACTTTGAAGCTGCAACAAGCTGTAAAGAAAAACATTGCACTTCAGCCTAGGTGACTGAATAAGACTCCATCTCAAATACATAACAATATAAAAATACATATTTTTATAAAAGTCCATAACTTTACTTATTATAAAGAGTTAACTTCTTATATATAAGTAAGAGGTAATATTTTAGAGTGATAAGAAGTATTCGTATCATAGTTTGTCAGTATTTTTATGTTTTCATTATACCTTACAGAGGCATTTACAATGAAGTCAAACAATACATCTTGCAATTACTTAGACAAAGCTGCCAATATTAGCAAATACTAACTTATTATTTACTATAGACTGATGAACTTATACACTTTGTGTCTTACCAGTTAATATTCAATCATAGCAACCTCTGAACAGACAGCTACTAATTACCACTCCCATGGTCCATTTGTGAATCTGAGTTAAAGAAAAATAATAGAAAAGGAATAGAAGTACATAAACTTAACTATGTCTATTCCCCCAGAAAAAGGAATAGAAGTACATAAGCTTAACTATGTCTATTCCAGAGTCTCTGCTCACATCAGCTATGTTAGAATATCTTTTTTCTTATAGGGCAAAAGTATTCTAGATGCTTCTTAAGAATTTGTACCCTACCTTATGGTCATGAAATTATTCTCTTAAATTCTAAATGCTGTATTATTTTTTTTAAATAGTCTTTAAATAGTTAGTACACCTGAAATAGATTTTGTATGTAATTTAAGGGCACGTTTTATTTTACTAAATAGATACTGAATATTCTAGAATATTTGCTGAAAATTCAACTTTTCTACATTCATCGCTTTTCATAAATTATTTGCATATGTATACATGCTTGTGTTCAAATGCCACCATTTTCTTGAAAAGATAATTCATTTAACACAAATTTTTTTCTTCCAGAACCCTTTCTCTAAACCACTGTGCCACTGGGCCATAAAAGCAGAGAAAAGTATAAACATTCATGCCTTGATACCAGGCCAGTATTCACAGTTTTACCTAGAAAAAGAAAAAAAAGAGAGAGAGAGAGAGAGAGAGAGAAAGGTTTAGTTTAGAACTTCAGAAGATTTCTTTTGTTGATAAGGTTCTAGTGAATCTAAGACGCCCCCCCACACACACACACAAATACCACTCTCCTTGTTACTTTTTAATATATTCTTAGGGAATTTCTTTTACTTCCATGCCTCCATTCTCAGTTCTGCTTTCTAGGGCCTAGGGCAACATCTCCTTCCCCCAGCCACAGAGAGCAGGGCAAGAGCTTGTACAGACCTCCTTCAGTGTCCCCTCATAGCCACCCACAGCCCAGTGGGCGTGGCCTGACTACTTTAAACCACACCCACCACTGACAGAAAGGGCGGATGAAGGGGGTCCACAACTGTGCTGTGAAGGGACCTGAGACAGGGGTATGGGGATGGTGACAAGCTAGGAGCAAAGTGTTTTTGCAAGGAGGTGGACAGCAGGGGCCAGTAAGCAGCGTGCAGGGGGCCAGCTGTACAGGACATTTCTCTGATGGGATGCACATTCACCCATCTATTTCTGTGTCTTCTTCTTCTTCTTCTTTTTTTTTTTGATATTCTCATGTAAACCTCATGATATTCCTGTGTTTATCAGACTGTGACATGTATTTTAACTTCATTCTTTGTATTACATGGGTCCTTTTATGTATGTAGGAAGAAATAGTCCTAAATTTCTTATCTGTGGATTATTCATAAGTAAATAATTTTCCAACTTATTTATTTTTAATTGATAAATAATAATTATATATGTTGCTTACCACATGATACAGTAGAAGGTCTGTAAGTTGACCACCCAAGGGACTATAACAAACTTGTTAACATGTAGAGGTGATCAACATAAGGAACTAGGCCTACTGTACTGATATGTCCATGTGGTGTACATTTGGTCTATGAAAATTAGGCCAACTTAAGAAGGTAGTCAGTTTATGGGGCTGGTCAACTGTATATGTGTTTTGGTCTATCTATACATTATAGAAATGTTCAATCAAGCCAATTAACATATCCATCACTTTACCAAATTATCATCATCACACACTAATTTTGTGTTGAGAATGTTAAAAATGTACTACTTTAGGAACAGTGAAACTTTCAACTGACTAAATAAGTGTGATTACCTCAATATGCCTTTCGTTGATCATTTCTGAAAACCAGTTATCACTTCCTGGGTTTGGGCTGCTGTGTTTTCTCTCTGAACTTTTAATGCTTCCATTTTCCTGTGAATTATTAATCTAACCATTTATTTAAAAATTCCAGTAACATGGTTTAGTTTTTCTTTCATTTTTATTCTCATAGCAGTAGTATACTTTTTCCATTGCTTACTATGAATTTAATTAGTTTATCTTTTTCTAGATTCTGAAATTTGAAACTAAGATGATTGACTTTACATCTTCCATCTTTTCTAATGTATACATTTGGTGCCATAGGTTTTCTTTTACCCTTTACTTTCCTTGCATACCATCAGGTCCAATGAGTTCTAGTTTCATTTTTCTTTTCTTTTCTTTTCTTTTTTCAGTTATTGGCTGGGGCTGGGTTTGAACCCACCACCTCTGGCATATGGGGCCAGCACCCTACTCCTTTGAGCCACAGGTGCCACCCTCATTTTTCTTTTTTTAGTTTAAAATATTTTTTAGAAGTTGTCTGGAAATGTTTTATTTGGCCCATATGTTGCTTAGACCTCAGTTCTTCATTCCTTATGCATTTTAGAATATTCCAATTACCTTACCAGTTATCCTTTGATTTCTAGTTTGATTTTATTATGATCTGAGAGCAGTCATGATATTGAAACAGGATTTGATTTCAAGTTTTGAACATTTGTTATGGTATTTTTTATGCCCCAGAATGTGTTCTATCTTGGGGTAATGTTCCATGTGGACTTAATAAGAATGTGTAATCCATGTGTGGTGGCTCACACCTGTAATTCTAGTACATTGGGATTCCAAAATGGAGGATTGCTTAAGTTCAGGAGTTCAAAACCAGCCTGAGCAAATAAAAGACCCATGGTCTTTCATTCCTGTCAACCCAGCTACTCAGGAGGCTAAGGGAGGCGGATCACTTGAGGCTAGGAATTTGACATTTCTGTGAGCTATGATGATGTCACTACATTCTGACTGGGATGACAATGTGAGGCAGAAGAAGAAAAAGAAGGAGAAGGAGGAAGAGGAGGAAGAGGAAGAAAAAAGAAGAAAGAGAAAGGAAGAAAAGGAAGAAGGAGGAGGAGAAGAAAAAGACAAAAAGAAGAAGGGGAGGAAAAGAAGGAGAAAGAAGGAAGAGGAGAAAGATGAAGGAAAAAAGAGGAGAAAGTGGAAGGAAGGAAGAAGAGAAAAAGGAGGAGGGGAAAAGAGAGGCAGAGGAGGAATCAACATAGCTATCCTTGCTATATCTGATTAGTAGTAGTGTTGCCTATCCTGTTCTACTCATTTACCTTTGTTTGGTACATGTCTTTATATTTAATAAGTTTTCCTTGTCTTTACTGTTACACTCTGGCAATTTCTATTTTTTACATGACGGTTTTATGCTACTGACATTCAAATTGACTACTACAATAAGGGATTAATATATATTATATTTTTTACTGTCTTCTAATTTTTGCTTTTTATCAAATATTTTTGTCTTTATTCATTCTATGTCTTTTATAATTTTAATTGAGCATTTCATATGTTCTATTTTAACTCCATTTTTAACATACCAGTTACATATCTTTTCCTGGTTGTGCCAGGAAACAAAACCTTTATTTTTCATATTCTTAATTTATTGTAACCCATAAGTTTCTTCAAAGTAATAATGGCATCAATGTATTTGATTATTTATATTTTAAAGGTTATATAACCTTAAAAAAGTAACTCCATCATGGAAAAGACTCCACCTTGCATTTCAAAGGAATCAGGCCTTCAGGCACCATATGTTCACCTAATCAGTAGAGAATGTACCCAGCCAGACAAGGCATAACTCTTTACTATCAACCTTAACCAGAGGACTTAGGAATCTTAAAAAGAGCAGGATATCACCATATTGATGTTGCCATCTCAGTAGATATTGTCTTACTGTCACTCATGCTGACTCCCCCCACCCCATTGTATGCTACGCAAAGCTCTGCTAATATCAAGAACTCTGCCTTGTAAGAAGTCGAGGCCTTTCTGGCTTAGCACAGAGCACCCTCCTTGTCTGTGTCACTCTCCTTGAACTGGTTTCTGAATGCCTTTTTCTATCCTCCTATTCTCTTGATTATAAATGTTACTGTGAGGTGAAAATGTTTATCTATAACAGTAATATGTATGTTAAGCATGCTACTATGTGTATATGTGGTTTGCAATATCTATTGACTTGTGGATCAGCTTCCATCTGTGTGCCCTTGGCTCAGACTACAGAGTGAACAGGTCATACTAACAATTGACCCCTTGGGAAGTTCATGTAACTCATTTTTTTAATGATTGAATAGGCATTGATAAATGACTGATTATAGAATAACACAAATGTGTGTGGACCTGGCTATGTCTGACCTTCTACCACACAACTATTGGCATAATGAGCACCTGTCCTCCACTGTCAGATAGATTTCTGAAATTAAAATCAACTGACATTTATAATAACAGAACTGGGATAACCAGATTAAGAAATTTCATAAAGCCCAAGGCCACACTAACATTTAAATTAGCAATTGAGCCATTTGACAAAACAAATTTCCACCTTTTCTAAAAAGAGCCATAATCTGTGTCACCTTGAAAGACTGGATCCTTGAGGAAAACACTGGGAAAGGGAGTGAATTTACCCATGTTAGGCAGATTTAAAGCTAACAAGGTCTTGGTTGATGCCAGGCTAGGAAGCTAGTGGGGCCAAAAGAGCTCACACTGAGCAGGGTCTGAACCTCTGAGATAGGACATACTAGGAACACTCAAGTCAAAAACAACAATGGTGAAAACAGACATTTTATAAACATTTTATTTTTATTGTTTGGTCAAAAATCTAAAACTCTTTAGTGAAGTGCATAATACTCAAACCTGGGAATAAAAGAGCAGGTATACAACTGTACAAATTACCAATTGTACACAGATACACACCTTTGTTTTAGGTAACTGAATAAAAGTAAGCCTTCTGGACATAACACATCACACTGTGACAGAAACACTGGAGGAAGATTAACCAAGGCTTCCCAAAATCTGCTATTATACTGCCCTATAACTGTAATGCTGTACTTTATACTTCTCACTGTTCACTCAAATTAGAAAACAATATAGAAATGGATCTGACCTGGAAACTTTTTAGCCTTTGGTGGCCTATTAAGAAATTTAAGGAACTTAAATTCTTTAACTTAACATTAATTAAAATGAATCCCATAACATTGCCTATACCACACCAGGCTACATATAATAAATAATACCCATGAAAGGGGGGCATAAATATGTAACCCTAAAGATTCTAGAACTCCTTAAGAAATACATAGTTACAATTGGCATTTCAATGAACTCTAATAGTTCAGTACAGTCTGTCTGAAAATCAAATGGAAGCCAGGTAACTATCAACCATGGTAATTTGAAGAATATATCTCCTAAAATGCCAGGAATATTACCAGATGTAAAGAAGTCATTTCATCAGATTCCTAACTAGAATGGCAAATAAATTTTACTTACATATACATTAGACATGTTCTTAGTCATACAAGTAAAAAAATATATATATACCATAATAAGTTTGGGTAGCCAAAAAATACTGCTTAAAAGGTGACTATAAGAACATTAAAAGAGTTCAGTAACAGCTCACTTTATTTTATCATTATACATAGGTGACATTACAATGGTAAACAATTGCCAGGAAAAACATATAAAGACAAAAGTAATCAATAACACAGTTATGATTGTTGAGATAGATTATGTGTATTATTACAGAAGAGACAAGTAATTGCAAATTTGTAAGGCTTCAGTGGTCATCACCAGGGATAAATAACCATGGTGATGTATAAAAAGCATGGGGTGGTGCCTGTGGCTCAAAGGAATAGGACACTGGCTTCATATGACAGAGGTGGAGAACTCAAACCTAGCCCTGGCCAAAAACTGTAAAAAAAAAAAAAAAAAAAAGCATATGACATAAAACAATAAGCAGGAAGCAGCAACATTAATGGATACTGGAGACAGCATGTACATGCTTCAGCATCATCCTGAAACAATATGTAAGATAAGTAGAAAGTCCTAAGACTCGAACTGGGGACAAGAACAATCAACTGAAACACTCAACTAGAGACATTACCACATTCCAAAAATTGCATCATCTATCTCTAGATTCACTCTTCAGTTAGAAATTTTGATGAGTGAGGAATATTGAATGTATACATTATAGATAAAACCAGACTCTGCACAGGGTGTCATAGCTCACTTCTGTAATTCCAGACATTTGGGAGGCTAAGGTGGGCAGATCATGTGAGGCCAGGAATTCAAGACCAGTCTGGACAACATAGTGAGAACCTATTTCTGCACACAAAGGAAAACAAACAAACATGTACTCGTAGGCTTAGATACTTAGGAGGTCGAAGTAGTAGAATAGTTGAGCCTTTGAGCCCAGGAGTTCAAGTTTACAGTGAGCTATGATCCTGCCCTGCACTCTACCTGGGAAACAGAGAAAGACCCTATCTCAAATTTTTTTGGTAGAACTAAAAAAAAAAAAAGTCTCAGAGTCCTTTCTACTGGTAAGATTATGGACAACAAAAAATATCCCATACTTCAACAATAAATTATGCTAATTTGAAATATATATATGGCTTACAAATGAAGCTGTTAAAAACCCTGAGTCTCTGACTGATAGCAACAACAGCACAATGAAATGCCATGTGCCTGTCCTTCCTTGGATAACACTGAGTCCTGAAGAATTGATAGGTATCCAAATTGATCAAGGGCTGCTCCCATGGACATGGTACATCCAGGGTTGAGACGTAGGCTTTAAGAGTCAACTAGGTCTTCTCACAGAGGTGAGTCACAAGACTGAAATAGACTTGCTGGAGTGCACTCCAAGGACAGGGACAATCCATGCCAGTACAGCAGAATGGGGTCCTGTCTGGTCTAATATCTTGCCTAAAACCTGGTTACGACGGATCAGCCTCTGTGACCCCAGGCCAGACCCGGTGGACAGCAGCAGCCCTCAGATCCAGGACCAAACAATCCAGAGGAGCTGGGCAAATTGCTTTGCATGCAGCATGCAGGGCTGACTGAAGCTGTTCTGACATCAGACACTCAGTGTCATAAAGTGAAAAGAAAAGATGCATATTCACAGACTTATGGGCAGTCATGAATGGCATAGCCCTATAGTCACACAAATGGAAATAATATAATTATACAATTATTGATAAAGATATATGGTCCAAATCTTACTGAGAGGAACTGTATGAATTGTGAAACAGAATTAAGATGTTTGTGACATGTATCAGAACACCATAAATATTAATCTGAGACAGTAAAATTTAATACCAGGTTAAGGCTCTGACAAGAAGCACAAGCATTGACACACAAATCGGACCTAAATTAAAACTGCACAGATATCAAGACAAATTTTGGAGACTTTTATTACCACTACTACATCTCAGGAGAAAATCAAAGAAGAAATGTGAGGTACCACGGGGACTCACAGTGACTATACTACAACAGAGATGGATGACTTTAACATGAAACAAACACCAGAAGCAGGTTACATACCACAAAAACTCCTACCATTACATAAGCAAAAAATACATTTAGGCACACAATAAAATGTGCCTAATAGACAAAAATCAAAATTGACTTTGCACAAGGTTAATAAGGCTGCAGCTAATTGTGAACCATGTAAAAGTCACCTAGACAAATAGAGATATACTAAACCCAAATATGCATGTTAACCCAGCAACTTTATCTTCTTATAGATAGATTTCATAGTACCATGAAAGCATCCCTACCCAAGGAAATACACAGTAACAAAGATGGAGATAGAATATGCTTAAATGTAAGTCTGACCTTATGGAAAGACACAAATTTAGGTGGACCTGGTGATGTTGCACCTCTCATGATATGTGTGTATATGCATACTATGTGCTTGTATGCTTGCATACCTGTGTAAGTAAAATGTATAATAGTTATAAGGATGAGGGAGAAGTAGGATTATTTTGTTATTGAAAGGCAATCACTTTACTTGTGAAGTGATAGAATGTCTTTTTGAAAAGTGCCTTGGAATAAATGTAAATAATACTGGAAAGTTTAAGGCAGGCTATTGAACCAAGGACATCAGTTTCTTCCTGGTCATTGACCTGCAGAGTTCTTTATCATGTGGGCTTCTCCCAAAGTTCATAAGCCTTAATCAAATCCATGGAGATATTCCTAATAAGATTCAAAACACAAAGTTATGTAATGTAACCTTTTGGTTAATTTTTCTTTATCTTTGTTATGTAACATAATCAACTGAGTCTTGTCCCATCACATTTGCTGTATTGTATAGATTCAAAGCAAACCATAGCCCCTAACCATTCTCATTAGGAGAATATTTGAACAGATGTTGTAGGATAAAAAGTGGGGATCATTCTTTAGGATTGGTAAGTCCATCTGGGTGTTGATGTTTCCTGGATCATACTTCCAGCACCAAAGCATGAGCACTTGTGCCTAGCCAGTGCCAGAGTTCTCACAAGTGTAAGTAATCACAATCACAAATATACACACATTTATTGCAGAAGAAAGTAAACTGCAATGAGTATGCATCTCAAAGTGTGAGGTATGCCCTTCTCCCTAAGTTGAAAGAGATGCCACAGACTGAACAATCCCCTTCTTTGGTATACTAGCTAGTTTGTCCTGCATTTCACAGGCAGGATTGGCTGTTACTTCCCACTTTTGGGGTAGTTGACAGGTTGGGATTACACAGAAAATGTTTTAATACATAAAAGTTTTCTGCCACCCTTCCTGAAGCATCCACATGGGGTATAAATTTGCAATTTTAAGTACATGATAATGAGCCCAGCTCACTTTAAGGTCCCTAGGAGCTCTTCACTAACCTACCAGGGAACAGTCCTTATCTGTAAAGTGCTTTCTGCTGTCTGCCCTTAGCCACTCCCTTTTTCTTCCGCCCTACCTATCAAGAATAGAAGCTAGGGGCAGCAGTGTAAATCTACTTCCAACCCCAGCTGCTTCCACATTGTCAAAGGGAGAAGCTGGGAACCACAAGGGAACATCTCCCCCTGGATAGAAAGTCAGAAGCTGAGATCAAAGGCAGGATGTCTCCCCATAGACCCAGCAATCCCAGAGAGTGGGACAAGGTTATGTTTTGTGACAACAGTGACTTTGCTGGATCAGAGTCATGACTTCATTGGAGGCCTCTGTGTATGAGCAATGCTCAGTGCAAAGCAAAAAGAGGTGGTGCCAAGCCAGGTCAGTACTGCTCAACATTCTCCTACTTGAGAGACATGAAACCTGAAGAACTTAGTGGATTAGGGGTGAAGATCCATCTTCTGTAGCTCCTTGAAGACAACTAGGGACACACCATTTTTCTAGTTCCTGATTCCATTGGGAAGACTACAGGTGGAACTTGCTTGCAATTGGGTCCAGTGGCTCAAGGAGTATCAAAAGGATGGGTTCAATGTGTTCTTGTCTGGGAAGAACATGGAATCTGTGGCCTAACATAAGCTTTATATCAAACTATTGGGGTCTAGAAGACACAAACTTTACCCTAAGTTTAAAAAGATATGGTCTAAACCAGGGGTCCTCAAACTTTTAAAATGGGCCAGTTCCCTGTCCCTCAGACCATTGGAGGGCCAGAACCATGGGCCATGGGATGAGTTGGCTGCTAAGCAGGATAGGCAGCTGTGGCAAAAACACCCAGCAGGCCAGATAAATGTCCTAGGTGGGCTGCAGTTTGAGGACACCTAGTAGAAGAATTATTATTATTAATGGTCCCACAAAAGGAAGAAACATAGTTCTTTCCTGGCCCCCAAGATCCACTGAGGTCGGGAATAAATTGATATATACAAAGTCATAGATGGCTTTAATCAACTTAAGAATTATGAAACTAATCTAAACCTTTTTATATGAAAGCTATAACCTAATAACAACCTAAGGATATGGGGAGGGGGGAGCTAGGGGGGAGAGAGTGGAGGGAGAGGGATTCGAGGGTTCACTTCTGTGGTTCATCTTGCAAGGGTACAAGTGAATCTTTCTATGAGTAGAATATGAATGTTTTGACATAATAACTAAGAAAGTTACATGAAGGCTATGTTAACCAGTTTGATGGAAGTGTCTTGGATTGTGTATGAAAACACCACACTGTACCCCCAAAGTGCATCAATGTACACAGTTACCATTCAAAAAAAAAAAAAAAAAAAAAAAGAATGGGCGACCTAAGCCTGTTTTCTTAAGTATTCTTATTAGGAAAGGATGTAAGAATTTTTTTATTCTCTATTAAATCATAACTGTGTACATTAATGCATTTATAGGGTAAAATGTGCTGATTTTATTTACAATATGGAATGCTTACATCTAACTGATTAACATACCCATCTCCTTGCTTACTTGTTGTGTCAAGACATTTACACTCTATTCTTAATAGTTTTGAAATGTATTATTGCATTATGCACATAAGGTGTGGTCCCCCCAAATACCCTCCCTCCTCCAGATTTCCCCCCTCCCCTCTCCCTCCTCTTTCCTCCTTCTTTCTGGACTATAGTTATGTTTTACCCTTCCTATGAATGTGTAGGTTATTGTATACTGATTTCACAGTAGTACTGAATACATTAGATACTTTTTTCCCCACCTTTCTTGAGATACTTTACTAAGAAGTGTATGTTCTAGCTCCATCCAGGTAAACATAAAAGATGTTAAGTCTTCATCTTTTTATGGTTGTATAGTATTGCATGGTATACATATACTATAATTTGTTAATCCATTCATGGGTCAATGGGCATTTGGGCTGCTTCCATAACTTGGTGATTATGAATTAGACTTCAATAAACATTATAGTCTACATGTCTTTGTTGTAAAATGATTTTTGATCATCTGGGTAGCTATCTAATAGAGGAATTGCAGGACCAAATGGTAGGTCCACTTTTAGTTCCTTG